TTTAGGTATCAAAGGTCTCTCGGAAGAAACTACAACTGGTGTCCACAATTTATACAAAATGATGAAAAAAAATGAGCTTAAAGTTCCTGCTATCAATGTCAACGACTCTGTTACAAAGGTAAGCAGTGTTGTAATGTACCTGACTAGTTGCCTAATAAGTGACACACCTAACGAGTTGGTGGCAATGTTCTACATCTTAAGATACAAGGATGTACAACAAACTATGCATGGTGAACTTGCCTAGTTTGCAATAGTATGGGGTTAATATTTCTGCACCCACTAGTTGCATGTGTTTGCAAACTTCTTGTTCTGACTAGTAACCATAGAAACGTTTGATTGGACATTCTATTCACGAGTATAAATGCACAGTACACTCTAGGAGTTTTCTGTCCACCGTAACAATTCTTTTTACAGACTTCACTCGCTTGGGATTATCTATAATTATTTGCTTCTTAATTTTTGTTGTGATCATCTTCAGAACGTGTTCCAACTGTTGAAAATCCTAGTCTATAATATGCCTTCTAGGCATTATTTTAGTATTTCTAAACAAGTTGAATGAATGACTGACGGAATGCCACAATTTTAAGAGATGCACATTGTTGGATTGCAAGGATATGGTCTTAACCCTTTCACCACCTGACTTTCTCGCCCAAATGTTTCTGCACTTCTTTCTTTATTCAATTTTTCTGGAAATGAACCCTAATTTTGGAGCTAACAGACAAAATTTAAATCAATTTTTAGTTTTTACTCAAAAAAATTTGGCTATTTTTGGTCCAATCTTTCGAAGGACTATTTTGTGATGAAATGGGGAACTGGTAGTGAAAAGGTTAAAGTCACTAAAAGTTACCCCCCATAAACTAACAAATATCCTCTGTGGTTCTTTTTATTGGCAGAGCAAGTTTGATAACCTTTATGGCTGCCGAGAGTCTCTTGTTGATGGTATCAAGAGAGCTACTGATGTGATGTTAGCTGGCAAAGTTGCTGTGGTGGCCGGTTATGGTGATGTGGGTAAAGGTAGTGCGCAATCACTACGTGCTTTCGGTGCCAGGGTTATCATCACAGAAATTGACCCCATCAATGCACTGCAGGCATCAATGGAAGGTGAGTATCCACACCAGTATGTTCTAAAAGCATGGGGTTTGTATTGATACAAGACCAATATTACTTGCTGCAAAATTTTTTGCGGCTATCTGTGTTCGTTGCTTCTTACGATTCAAGAGCATTCACAAAAAAAATATGTTCACTAAACCCATTAACAACTCCAGTCAACCCCCCCCCCCCCCCCGAAACACAAAATTTATAGAAATTTGTCTTGAAGTAAAATTAACACTGAATGTCATAATTGTTCCTGCCAAAATTGTCAAACGTGATGCATTTTTTTTTTACATTTCTAAGTTAATTTAAACCAAACATAATTTAGACTGTTTCCCATTTATTAAAATTTGTGAAAAAAATATGAAAGGAAGAAAATTGTAGAGGTTTGTGCGCG